AAGGAAATAATAGTCTGGCAGGGATACCGCAGTTGCGACATCTGCATTAAAATTTTTGAACATGTCAAAAAAATTGTTAAAATTAACGCGTCTTTACTTTCAAGTAATATTTGAATTATATCAACATAATTACAACTGTCAGATCGACCTGCAATTTATTTTTTATTTTTAAAAGAAACTCCCAATTTGTTATTGACTATTCTAATTTATTGAACATTTTTTGATAAGAATTTTTTTATTAAAAATGTTCTGTCAGCTGTCAAAATGGCTGCCATATTGAATAATATGATTTCTACGTGTTACTAATAACCCGTTTAAGGAAGAATATTATGGGAATTCATTACCTTTAAAAACTTTTTGTAAGCCTTAGTTTTACCTTTGAGACTAACCCAAATTACTCCAGAGGCATATCTAAATATTTTTGTTATTAGTAAACTTTTAAAAAATTCCACCAGCTCTTATCTTAATTATTATTTGTTATATCGAATTGATTTTTGTTGTTTGTTTGGAAGCTTCGAACAAGAACTTTCTTAATAACGGATTAAAATATTATTATGATGTGACGAGAATACAGTTTTGCCTTCGTTTTATCCCATCCCCTCACATGAAAAACTTGCTAGTCCTACTAATTCTTACATTTGGTTATATCTACATAATAAATTATCAGTTATACAGTGTGTCTACTTAAGTTGGAACCATATGGAATACATTTTTATTATTGATTTTAGGAAAAAAAGTTATTCTTGATAAAAAGTCCTGCATGACCCAAAACTTAAAATACAGTCATCACATATCAAATTTTTCAAAGTACGTTTATTTTTGACAAAATCGAAAATTTTCATTAAGAAAAGTTGATTAGAATTGAATATTACATTCAAATATGCAATTACACCGATCTATCTGAAAAAACAGATTTTCTTATTTTTTATAAACTCTACACTCTACACATTGATTGTAAATATCTGAAAACGTTATAAATTACGTTAGCTACTATAAACATGATACGCTTTCCTTTTGTTGATGTTTGTGAAGAATTTAACAAATTTCTTAATGAAAATTTTCGATTTTGTAAAAAAATAAACGTGCTTTACTCTTGAGCAAAATTCATATTTTTTGACAAACCTCGTATACGGCTTGAAAAATTTGATATCTGATGACTGTATTTTAAGTTTTGCGTCATGCAGGACTTTTTATCAAGAATAACTTTTTTTCCTAAAATCAATAATAAAAATGTTTTCCATATGGTTCCAACTTAAGTAGACACACTGTATACAGCGTGGAGGGTAGAGTTACATTTTATTAGATGGAATATCCTGCATATTGTTAAATTGTGCCTAAAAAGATAGGTTAGATATGGTATTAGGGGCATCTATTTTCTTGTTTTCAACTTATCAGCGATCAACGATTAAAAAATGTAAATGTACAGGGTTCGCCATTTAGAAAATAATACAACTGAATGTAAGTACCCTGTACATAAAATACGAAAACGATTTAGCAGGAAAAACATTCACCTGAAACTTTTCATTTGTAATATTTATTTTTATTTATAAGGGCTTAGGACCAAACAAAACGACTACCCTGTACAGTGTCCACTGGTCCAAAAATAACAAGCTGCTACATTAAAGGGCAAATAGAAATTCGGAACACAACAGTGTAAGGAAAGCAAAGGCGTAGCCAGTCATTTTTCATGGGAGGGGTTTTTGAGAACTATGAGAGGGGGTTCCATCAAGAAAGTAAATAAAAACAGTCAATTGCGATCAGCGCCAATACCATAGAAGAAATGGTGACGCGAGGACCCTCCATGGGGGGGGGGGGGTTCTGACCCACCCCCTCTGAATGAAAGAAACCCAGGAATAAATTAATATGTAATGTCAAATTAAAAAACGTCCAGGCTGTTTTGTGGGTTACATTACAAGTACGTGCCAGATGGTAAAATTGTTATTTCAAACTATTAAAGAAAAGTAAGTATTAAGTATGTGGTTTACCTTTAAGGTGTTATTCCTTCCTCAACTTTAAGGCAAAAAGTTCATATAAACGTAGGTTCGAAACGATTTTATTTTGGTTCAAAAAATGCTAATGGACCTTTTATTTAAAAAAAAAATTAAATTACAATGCATCGAATTTGTCTCCGTATAAATCACAACTAAACCAACAACTTCTAAGGACCCAATACATCACCAGTATTTGGCGTAACACCCATCACCCCACATCATTAAAACCTGAAAATAATGAATAGACAATAATGGATGGACAATATTTATTTAACTGCTATGAAGAGAACGTTGTACCACCGTCCATATATGAAGTGATGTTACAATCTTGCCAAGATGACGATACTGCATCAGGTAAATAATTTTAGTTTTTTATCTATAAGATTTACGCCTATAATATAATGAGTAATCCACGAAAACGAATTATTAGTAACGCATTTAAAAATAATATTATCCAATATGCCATTTTGACAGAACATTTTAAATGTTCAATAAATTATAATATTCAATAAAAAATAGAAGTTTTCTTTTAAAAATATCAGTTATAATAAAGTTATAATTCCAAACTTTTAAACAAAAAAAAACCATTTGGATATTTCAAATGATAAGGACGATAAGAGAGTGGAACTTTTCAGTTGCCTACCCTGTATACTTGTCTGGCGGCCATTAAAAACCGCCATAGAGGTCTGGCAGTTGTAATTTGTAACAGTTGGAATCGTTATTTCGGACACAATCACCTCTTACTCAAATGTTCAAATGTCATTTGTCGTCTATGCTTTTTGTCAGAAGTAGTGACATTTTTATTTTGATCTAACAGACAGCAACGACTAGGTCACTTCAATTTTGATTTTATCTCGGTCCTCCGATGCATTAAATTATATTTATTTATGTTAATGACCGTCTGATTTTATAAGGTATGTTTTGTTAATAATGTTATTAAATATCTATATTGTATGCAATGATTACTTGAAAAAATTGTCAAATTTTAAATATAACCTCTATATCAACAATGAATGACACATATGTTAGCTTCTATATAAAATTATAATTATTTTTTGGAATAAGGTATTATGCTTTACTATATTCAACTATATTAAATGAGATTTTTCCTTTTCATATTAATTTTAGTCTCTGTGAAATTATTCATTTAATAATTAAAGCATTTTATCTAAATCCTTTTCAAATTTCCTTTCATCTACCATAACATTTTAACCCTTTTTAGCTGATGGCTATCTCTAGACGGTTTCATCTCTAGACAGTTTTTGGTTCGAATACAATAAGAATCATTTATCTTGAAGATCGTTCGAGTTCGATTACAAATAAGAATCTATTACCTTGAAGATCATACACAGTCACGATTGAGAGTTATGAACAAGAACCCCAAATCACTTGGTAGAAGTTGCCTGAGATTGATGTACCTCTGTAGTTAGAGACGAAGGAAGACATACCTGATTTTACCTTTAACTTACCGTCTATTACCTACAGATAAGTGCCATTGATTTAATCAATAGTTTTAAATTTGAATTATGTGCAAACTTATGTGAATTAGAATTTGATAACTACCTTATCTAAAGCATGGTTTAAGTATAATTTGTTAGTGGTTAGTGATTTTCTATATTTTTATCACTAATCTAGAGTTAAATGTATAAGCTTTAAATATATTGGTGCCCAACTTCTTTTTCAAAGTTATTCGAGTTATTTAAAAACCTAACCCACGCCCTATAAATTGAGCTCAAACACATATATCAAAGTAGATAAAATAACCAGCTATTCATGTTACAAAAATTTTTGCAAATGCAAATGAAAAGAAAATAAAAAAAAACAAATTTATTCTGAAAGTACAACATTATACATTTCTTATATGGAAAAACTTTTTAAAAGATTAACTATCTTGTCAGATGAATGTAGAAGATTAAATATTATTAAAATAATCTTTTACCTACATTTATTTCTCAGTTAGCGTTGCAAGAACCTAAGACTATTGATGAATTATATATTTTATGTAAGAAGCTAGAAGATGCTCTAAGTTTATCTGCAAATTTTAAACATCCCCATCCAAATAATACTGCTGCAGGATGTTATGTTGATATTGTTCCTGAAAGTTTTAGCCTTTTAAAAAATACGTTATAACAATTTTTTTGACACTTTCAAAAATTTAAATGTACATGTCGCAACCGCGGTATCCCTGCCAGACCATTATTTCCTTATCCAGAATATTAAATCTACAAATGTTCAGCCTTGTGCTCAACTCATTGGTCAATATAACCGCTGGCTCTCAGTCTATCTAGCAGACTATGAATCAGGAAAGACTATGGTAAAGGACACTCCAGAGTCTCCCAGGTTACAGTGAATTTTCGTGAAATAATATATCAAATATCACTCATTATTTATGATGCATGGATAAATATTGACCGCCCCAAATGTATGTAATATTTATTTGTATTGAATAGGACAGTCGCACTTGTGTGCTTTAATATTATAAGATTTATGATTTCATATAGTTTAAAGTTCATGCAAAATGTCATATGTCAAAAATTACTTTTTTTTTATTTCACCATATCATTATGCTTTTGTTTTATTGTTTTGCCAACTAGGTCAAAATATTTTAGGTTTCTGACCTATAGAACATGTCATGTTTTATGTTAGTCATCTGTTTCAGCAATTTAACATTATGTTCTCAGTGTTCCAAAAAGTGCACTTTTCAACATAACGACATTTTGAACGAACAGCAACGAAATGAAATTAATTATAAAATAAATTCTTTTATTTCTTGGGCTAATACAAAATTTAAGATTTTAATTTTTATCTAAACTCCAGATTTGAACTCGCAATTCTTAATGAAAAATATTTAATCAAATATGATTAATTTATCATTAAGTAAATACACATTACGTTAAAAAACCCTAGACAAAAAATATAGAAAATACATTTTTTGTTAACCAAATAAACAGGAAATTTAATGGTTATTAACGACAACTTTAAGTACGAAGCTAGTTAAAAGGAGCTTACTTAGAGGGTAATTTGTAAAGGTAACCTTTTCCTGCATCTGACCAAACTATTATCCTGTCAATTGCCAAAAAGTCCCCGGACATCCATCTTTCGCCTCTTGGAGCCAGATATGAACATAACACACTGAAATCCCCTAAAATATATAAATGAAATATTAAAAGGGAGTAAAAAAAGATTAACGGCTGTGTGCACTCAGCTTAGATCAGCAAAGAAAAACTTGTATTTCATGCATTTTTTTTATATTATCAATGTAATTTCAGCTTTAAGCCATATTCAGAGCTTATCTAAAATAAGTATGAGTGTAAATTAAAAATAAGACTTCAGTTTAAAACATTAAGAACAAAAAAACTTTTTCACAAGTTATAATTACAAGAAAAGAAACCCAAGGTAACAAGCGCATCCCTTCACATTCCTAATGGGGGAACCCAGAAGCTAAGCTTGTGTGGGGGTAGGAATGCTGACGAAATCAATTTTATTTATTATTTATTTATGGGTCATAGCCCATTAAAACGTAGTGCAACAATTTAAGATACACATTACAAATAATAATAAAATCCTAAGTATTAACAATAAAATTAATTTAAATTATATATAATAGATTGAGGTTATATAAATTAAAACCATTGCAAAATATTTACATTTAAAATAGAAATAACTTACAATATTGTTATTTTAAGCAAACTTGTATTTAAATAAATCATGTCACTGGTAACACTTATACTATTTTTTTTTATTTTCTATAGCATTGCACCTACAGTTCTATACGTATACTTACGCGGGTTTCGGATTAACAAAATTATGCAAATTAGTCATTGACAACCAGTTCCAATAAGCCTCTTCCCAAGAAATTAGGTAAAATTGCCCTAATGGTCAGATTTAAATTAAAATAACATTAGGGTAGGTACTAAATTTGTTACAAATATTGCAGTTGAATTGATTCTTTGCAAGTGTTGACATTGTATGTATATTGTAAATTTAGTGGAAATTTTAAAAATGCCTTGACGTGTGTTATATGTAGATAGTCTAATTTGTAGTGTACATAAGTATTTTACGTATGAAAATCTGTACAACAACGTGTATGCGATGCTCTAGGACCTAGTGAAACCAAATTAAGAGGAGTATTACAAAATCACAATAGTGAACTGCCGAAAGAAGATCACCGCAAAACTCGCCCATCATTGAAAACGAAAGATATTCCAGATGGAAAGAAATTTGAAATTCGTAATACCATTTATCGAATGAGGGCCAACAAGGAACATGTGACCTTAAATACAATTCTCTCGGAATTAATAGATAGAAAATTTGACGACATTGGCAGAACAAGTCTATGGCAAGTGATACATAACTTGGGTTTCAAATTTCAAAAGGAGGATAACAGAAAGGCCCTTTGTGAAAGAAGTTCTGTCGTGCACAAGAGAATTAACTTTCTAAGAAAATATTCTAAATTTAAAGAAGAAGGGGCGAATTTTATATATTTAGACGAGACATGGATATTTTCTAGGGGTGCAACCAAGAGAATAATATAGCAAGATGATAACGTAAAGTCCATCAAACATACCGATGGAGAAGGGAAGCGACACATAATTTTACATGCAGAAGGGAAATCGGGTTTTATAGAAGGTGCTGATTTAATATTTTCACCTAAATCAAAATCCAGTGACTATCACGATAATATGAACACAGAAATGTTTGTAAAATGGTTGCATGAAAAATTTCTCCCAGGTTTAAGTGAGCCCAGCGTAATTATTTTAGACAATGCACCTTACCATTCTGAAGTATTAAACAAAAGTCCAACGAATTCTTGGACTGTTGATAAAATTAAAGAATGGTTGACAAAGGAACATATGCCATTTCCTCAATATATATTAAAATCAGAATTATTACGCTTGGCAAATATACACGCAAAACCAAAAACCTTTGTTGTGGATCAGATTATTGAAAGTTACGGTCATCAAGTTTTACGTCTGCCACCGTATCATTGCTAGTTTAATCCCATCGAATATATATGAGGAATAGCAAAACAATATTATGACAACCATATTGGGCCTAATGGTTATAGTGACGACGCAGTTCGGGAAACTTGGCGAAAAGCACTTTCAATTGCAACTCCAGAAGTGTGGCGGAACCGTATATCCAAGTGCAAGAAACTAATAGAAGATTGGTGGACTCGTGAAAATAAAATAAACGAAATAAGTCCAATCATAATAACAATTAATGGTGATGACAGTGATGATGATGACGATTATGATATTTTGGATGATAATGACCGATTTTCATTTTTGTTGGCAAGTTCAAATTTTTTATTTTTCATTTGAAATTCTCTACATGGAACAAATTTTTATGTTAGAAAATATTTTATTTGAGCTAAAAACCCTTTTATTATACATAGACCATATTTTCTGTATGAAGTGTAATATAAAATTATTTTCCTACGACCACTTAGGAAAGTGACACATATCACACTATATAGTCCTATGGAAAGTGCCCTATATCAGACGCGTATAAATAAGAATTTACTTTCCACCCGAGTGAGAATATGTTACTTTCCGCAGTAGTTGTCACAAAATGTCAAACACCTAATTTCTATTTTGATCTATGTAATGTCCATATTAATACTAAAATCGATGATTGTTAAATTATTGAAATTATTGTAAATTAGATCCTAGATATTTATCTTTAACAATTATTATTAAAATAATTTTAAAATGTTTGTTCTTTATTTTGGTTAAATAGATAACCGATTAGAGCATTCAATTGAGACAAGGGCTATTAGCTCAGGTGGTTAGGACGTCGAACAATCAAATTTGCCATTTGAGAGACCTGGCGAACGACAGCGTTCGAATCCTGCCGGGGCCAGAATTTTTTTTTTTTCAATTTTTTTTTTTTGTTTAAAAAATATGAAAATTGAATAAATACGATTGTTGTTGATTATTTTTTTAAATACATTTTAATTATTATAATAACCTGGTTTTACATTTTTTGATGAAAATATTTTGTGGTCGTAGGAAAAATATTGTACATCACTTGTGTGAAAAGTGATTTTCCACACTCGTGTGATAGTCGCACTCGGCTTGTGCCTCGTGCGACAATATTTCCCACTCGTGTGAAAAATGTCACTTTCCACACTCGTAATGTAATATACTATATTAGGTTTATAATAGCCACATTAGACTCCATTAATAGAGAAGTTTAATTCTGCTCTCAATTATACAAAAGATTCTCCATTATTATTTAATTAAAAAGTTGTACATTATTTTTCATTTCATTTGACCAGTTGATATTTCCCCAAAGAACAGATCAATCTTTCGGGTACTTACCTGGAAATACTCATAAAAAATTTTAATCCGAAACCCGCGTAAGTATAGCGAACAGACAGACTGTAAGGATTTAACACTTGTTTTGTACAGAACGTATTTAACGTAGTTTCTTTTTTAATTCAACAAGTTTGATATCTTTCCTATACTCTATTAAATAAATTTCAAATTAAAAATAAAGTAAATTAGTCCATTAGTTTTATAAAAGATAAATAATTGTCATTTATAAATATCTTAGATTGAATTGAAAATGTTTTGTAGTTTTTAATCTTCCTAATACTGAATGGTAATAAATTGTCTTTGGTAAGCAAATCTTGTATGTACATTTTAAGACAAAATTAGACCTAAGTCAAAGTCTATAAGAGTATATTATGAATTTTATTAAACCATTTTTAAATCATTTTTAAGATTATGACACTAAATGAGATAAGCATAAAAACTTTACAAAACTAATCAATTTTAAGAGAATTAAATTTTAAACGGTTTTACCTTTATTCTGTTTTTACTCTCTGTCAGAATTTTTTTGTGAACATGTTGGGAAAATATCCATATTAGAAATTAATTATTATAAAATGTATTTTTAATTTGTTTGGCAACACTTGTCTGGAAGTGAATGCCATGTCTATCTATCTAATCTATCTATCTATCTAATCTATCTATCTAATCTATCTATCTAATCTATCTATCTAATCTATCTATCTAATCTATCTATCTAATCTATCTATCTAATCTATCTATCTAATCTATCTATCTAATCTATCTATCTAATCTATCTATCTAATCTATCTAATCTATCTAATCTATCTATCTAATCTATCTATCTAATCTATCTATCTAATCTATCTAATCTATCTATCTAATCTATCTATCTAATCTATCTATCTAATCTATCTATCTAATCTATCTATCTAATCTATCTATCTAATCTATCTATCTAATCTATCTATCTAATCTATCTATCTAATCTATCTATCTAATCTATCTATCTAATCTATCTATCTAATCTATCTATCTAATCTATCTATCTAATCTATCTATCTAATCTATCTATCTAATCTATCTATCTAATCTATCTATCTAATCTATCTATCTAATCTATCTATCTAATCTATCTATCTAATCTATCTATCTAATCTATCTATCTAATCTATCTATCTATCTAATCTATCTATCTAATCTATCTATCTAATCTATCTATCTAATCTATCTATCTAATCTATCTATCTAATCTATCTATCTAATCTATCTATCTAATCTATCTATCTAATCTATCTATCTAATCTATCTATCTAATCTATCTATCTAATCTATCTATCTAATCTATCTATCTAATCTATCTATCTAATCTATCTATCTAATCTATCTATCTAATCTATCTATCTAATCTATCTATCTAATCTATCTATCTAATCTATCTATCTAATCTATCTAATCTATCTATCTAATCTATCTATCTAATCTATCTATCTAATCTATCTATCTAATCTATCTATCTAATCTATCTATCTAATCTATCTATCTAATCTATCTATCTATCTAATCTATCTATCTAATCTATCTATCTAATCTATCTATCTAATCTATCTATCTAATCTATCTATCTATCTATCTATCTAATCTATCTATCTAATCTATCTATCTAATCTATCTATCTAATCTATCTATCTAATCTATCTATCTAATCTATCTATCTAATCTATCTATCTAATCTATCTATCTAATCTATCTATCTAATCTATCTATCTAATCTATCTATCTAATCTATCTATCTAATCTATCTATCTAATCTATCTATCTAATCTATCTATCTAATCTATCTATCTAATCTATCTATCTAATCTATCTATCTAATCTATCTATCTAATCTATCTATCTAATCTATCTATCTAATCTATCTATCTAATCTATCTATCTAATCTATCTATCTAATCTATCTATCTAATCTATCTATCTAATCTATCTATCTAATCTATCTATCTAATCTATCTATCTAATCTATCTATCTAATCTATCTATCTAATCTATCTATCTAATCTATCTATCTATCTAATCTATCTATCTAATCTATCTATCTATCTATCTAATCTATCTATCTAATCTATCTATCTAATCTATCTATCTAATCTATCTATCTAATCTATCTATCTAATCTATCTATCTAATCTATCTATCTATCTATCTAATCTATCTATCTAATCTATCTATCTAATCTATCTATCTAATCTATCTATCTAATCTATCTATCTAATCTATCTATCTAATCTATCTATCTAATCTATCTATCTAATCTATCTATCTAATCTATCTAATCTATCTATCTAATCTATCTATCTAATCTATCTATCTAATCTATCTATCTAATCTATCTATCTAATCTATCTATCTAATCTATCTATCTAATCTATCTATCTAATCTATCTATCTAATCTATCTATCTAATCTATCTATCTAATCTATCTATCTAATCTATCTATCTAATCTATCTATCTAATCTATCTATCTAATCTATCTATCTAATCTATCTATCTAATCTATCTATCTAATCTATCTATCTAATCTATCTAATCTATCTATCTAATCTATCTATCTAATCTATCTATCTAATCTATCTATCTAATCTATCTATCTAATCTATCTATCTAATCTATCTATCTAATCTATCTATCTATATCTATCTATCTAATCTATCTATCTAATCTATCTATCTAATCTATCTATCTAATCTATCTATCTAATCTATCTATCTAATCTATCTATCTAATCTATCTATCTAATCTATCTATCTAATCTATCTATCTAATCTATCTATCTAATCTATCTATCTAATCTATCTATCTAATCTATCTATCTAATCTATCTATCTAATCTATCTATCTAATCTATCTATCTAATCTATCTATCTAATCTATCTATCTAATCTATCTATCTAATCTATCTATCTAATCTATCTATCTAATCTATCTATCTAATCTATCTATCTAATCTATCTATCTAATCTATCTATCTAATCTATCTATCTAATCTATCTATCTAATCTATCTATCTAATCTATCTATCTAATCTATCTATCTAATCTATCTATCTAATCTATCTATCTAATCTATCTATCTAATCTATCTATCTAATCTATCTATCTAATCTATCTATCTAATCTATCTATCTAATCTATCTATCTAATCTATCTATCTAATCTATCTATCTAATCTATCTATCTAATCTATCTATCTAATCTATCTATCTAATCTATCTATCTAATCTATCTATCTAATCTATCTATCTAATCTATCTATCTAATCTATCTATCTAATCTATCTATCTATCTATCTATCTATCTAATCTATCTATCTAATCTATCTATCTAATCTATCTATCTAATCTATCTATCTAATCTATCTATCTAATCTATCTATCTAATCTAATCTATCTAATCTATCTATCTAATCTATCTATCTAATCTATCTATCTAATCTATCTATCTAATCTATCTATCTAATCTATCTATCTAATCTATCTATCTAATCTATCTATCTAATCTATCTATCTAATCTATCTATCTAATCTATCTATCTAATCTATCTATCTAATCTATCTATCTAATCTATCTATCTAATCTATCTAATCTATCTAATCTAATCTATCTATCTAATCTATCTATCTAATCTATCTATCTAATCTATCTATCTAATCTATCTATCTAATCTATCTATCTAATCTATCTATCTAATCTATCTATCTAATCTATCTATCTAATCTATCTATCTAATCTATCTATCTAATCTATCTATCTAATCTATCTATCTAATCTATCTATCTAATCTATCTATCTAATCTATCTATCTAATCTATCTATCTAATCTATCTATCTAATCTATCTATCTAATCTATCTATCTAATCTATCTATCTAATCTATCTATCTAATCTATCTATCTAATCTATCTATCTAATCTATCTAATCTATCTATCTAATCTATCTATCTAATCTATCTAATCTATCTAATCTATCTAATCTATCTAATCTATCTAATCTATCTAATCTATCTAATCTATCTAATCTATCTAATCTATCTATCTAATCTATCTATCTAATCTATCTAATCTATCTATCTAATCTATCTATCTAATCTATCTATCTAATCTATCTATCTAATCTATCTATCTAATCTATCTAATCTATCTATCTAATCTATCTATCTAATCTATCTATCTAATCTATCTATCTAATCTATCTATCTAATCTATCTATCTAATCTATCTATCTAATCTATCTATCTAATCTATCTATCTAATCTATCTATCTATCTAATCTATCTATCTAATCTATCTATCTAATCTATCTATCTAATCTATCTATCTAATCTATCTATCTAATCTATCTATCTAATCTATCTAATCTATCTATCTAATCTATCTATCTAATATATCTATCTAATCTATCTATCTAATCTATCTATCTAATCTATCTATCTAATCTATCTATCTAATCTATCTATCTAATCTATCTATCTAATCTATCTATCTAATCTATCTATCTAATCTATCTATCTAATCTATCTATCTAATCTATCTATCTAATCTATCTATCTAATCTATCTATCTAATCTATCTATCTAATCTATCTATCTAATCTATCTATCTAATCTATCTATCTAATCTATCTATCTAATCTATCTATCTAATCTATCTATCTAATCTATCTATCTAATCTATCTATCTAATCTATCTATCTAATCTATCTAATCTATCTAATCTATCTATCTAATCTATCTATCTAATCTATCTAATCTATCTAATCTATCTATCTAATCTATCTATCTAATCTATCTATCTAATCTATCTATCTAATCTATCTAATCTATCTATCTAATCTATCTATCTAATCTATCTATCTAATCTATCTATCTAATCTATCTATCTATCTAATCTATCTATCTAATCTATCTTTCTAATCTATCTATCTAATCTATCTATCTAATCTATCTATCTAATCTATCTAATCTATCTAATCTATCTAATCTATCTAATCTATCTAATCTATCTAATCTATCTAATCTATCTAATCTATCTAATCTATCTAATCTATCTAATCTATCTAATCTATCTAATCTATCTAATCTATCTAATCTATCTAATCTATCTAATCTATCTAATCTATCTAATCTATCTAATCTATCTAATCTATCTAATCTATCTAATCTATCTAATCTATCTAATCTATCTAATCTATCTAATCTATCTAATCTATCTAATCTATCTAATCTATCTAATCTATCTAATCTATCTAATCTATCTAATCTATCTAATCTATCTAATCTATCTAATCTATCTAATCTATCTAATCTATCTAATCTATCTAATCTATCTAATCTATCTAATCTATCTAATCTATCTAATCTATCTAATCTATCTAATCTATCTAATCTATCTAATCTATCTAATCTATCTAATCTATCTAATCTATCTAATCTATCTAATCTATCTAATCTATCTAATCTATCTAATCTATCTAATCTATCTAATATATCTAATCTATCTAATCTATCTAATCTATCTAATCTATCTAATCTATCTAATCTATCTAATCTATCTAATCTATCTAATCTATCTAATCTATCTAATCTATCTAATCTATCTAATCTATCTAATCTATCTAATCTATCTAATCTATCTAATCTAATCTATCTAATCTATCTAATCTATCTAATCTATCTAATCTATCTAATCTATCTAATCTATCTAATCTATCTAATCTATCTAATCTATCTAATCTATCTAATCTATCTAATCTATCTAATCTATCTAATCTATCTAATCTATCTAATCTATCTAATCTATCTAATCTATCTAATCTATCTAATCTATCTAATCTATCTAATCTATCTAATCTATCTAATCTATCTAATCTATCTAATCTATCTAATCTATCTAATCTATCTAATCTATCTAATCTATCTAATCTATCTAATCTATCTAATCTATCTAATCTATCTAATCTATCTAATCTATCTAATCTATCTAATCTATCTAATCTATCTAATCTATCTAATCTATCTAATCTATCTAATCTATCTAATCTATCTAATCTATCTAATCTATCTAATCTATCTAATCTATCTAATCTATCTAATCTATCTAATCTATCTAATCTATCTAATCTATCTAATCTATCTAATCTATCTAATCTATCTAATCTATCTAATCTATCTAATCTATCTATTAGTACCTAATTTGATAGGAGTCGAGTTTAGTTTCCTCGGTAGTAGAGATTAGACGGACGGTTGCATGGTGCCATTTAAATTTTTTATATTTTAGTATTTTTATTGTTAATTTTCGATATATATATTTTTTATTTTATATTCGATAAAATATATCTTCGATCAAATGTTATTCAATTAAATGTATTTTCGATCAAATGTCATTCAATAAAATGTATTTTCGATCAAATTTCCAATTCGATCAACTTTGTGTCACCTCATTTTCTTACCTGCATCATATATTTGCCAGTATTTGGTACAAACTACAAGCACAGTCCTCTGATTGTAACTGCAACATTGTAAACAGACTGCATTCAAAGTACGTATCTGTTTACTTTCATTTTCATATATAGGCTCTTGGTGTCTATTTTCAGCTCCCGTTAAAGTCCATACTTTTACCATACCCGTAGTTGTTAATGCTAGTACCACATCGTCTTTACGTTTTGCTGGTCTCAATACCTTAAAAAAATATATCCATTATTTTATGAAAAAAACGCTTTTATTTTATATCTTACATGCAAAGAGCTTATCCAATCTGGATTCTGCTTAGAAGATAGCATGAACAGTACTTCTAAGCTGAATGGATCCATAACTATGATTTCCGGATAGTATCCATTGCAGAAGAGTCGTAAGTCTTCACAGTTGCACATATGATATGCCTAATTTAAATACAATGTTTTAAAAAAAAGTTAAATAAGTAATAAAAGTTGGATCAGAACAGCAGGAATTTAAATAAACAAATATCTACCTGCATATTAGTGTGAACTTGTTGTAACTTGACGGCCTCTCTGCATTTGCCATCTATCAGATCCCAAGTACACATTTCACCAGCTTCTGAACTAGAAACAATGTAGTTATTGTCCTGTATCATGGAAGCTCTTGTTATACACAAAATAGGAGCTGTATGACCAACCAATAAGCATCTCGGAATCATTTGAAGAGAATCTGGATCAACTTGCCTGAAAGTAAAAATGTTTAAATGATTTTTAAATAGCCAATACACGTTTTATTCTAAAATAATTACTGCCGTCCTAGCAAGAAAGGTCTTATCTGAACATTTGTTGTTTGGAAATAATCGAGTTTTTAACTATTTTTCGCAGACATATATTTGTTATCTTCTAAACCTCTTTAACGTTTTAGTAACTTTACGACGCAAATTGGATATTCTGTTTTGGTATCAAGAAAGACAAAATGTAGGCAAACGCAAAGAAATTGAAAAAACTGCTAATTTTGCAGATAGGACCTTTCTTGTTAGGACGGCAGTATAACAACGCATCAGAATTTTTAATCCTATTTGTCAGATCAATTAATAAAATCTTTACTTTTCTAGAGAAAATCATATAAAATCGTTTATTTAGTAAAGAAAACTATTTTTTACATGTCAATACATCTTCACATTTTAAATATAAAAAATACATATATATATATATATATATATATATATATATATATATATATATATATATATATACTCGACCAGCGTATCATGTGACATCCAGCAAAAATTTTGACTTTGTGACATCCACCCTTTGCAAAGACTTTAGGAAAAAAATAAAAATATGACTTCTTTTAATTAAAAAAATATTATGGCTGAGCGAAAAATATCACAACCATACACATTTTAAAAAAATAAAACGTCCTATCGTTGTGAGATCCAAAGTATACACGGTATATATTTTTATTAACAACACTTTGTGACATCCAGAAAAACCTTGCATCTTGTGACATCCAGTTGTTACGTCACAGTATACCATTTCTACAGAAAAACTGCCATTCTTATAACATCCAGCAAGTATATAGATACATTTTTAAATTAAGTATCTTATTACATCCTAAACATTTAACACGTTCAGCGCCAAAGCCGACCCTCAAATTCTACGATTTCTTATTGTTTTTTATTCCAATGTGATTTCTATTGTTGTTTTGTATGTGATAAAATAATTCATTCCATTTTCAAATTATTTTCTTTTTAGTTTTCGATTGTGTATATTTTTAGATACACTGGCCCAAAAAATAGTTTTCGATGAAGTAACTTCTTGATATTTTTTTGATATGTGGAAATCCCTTATAGAGATTCGGTACAGGTTCTCCCTTTCCCAATAGTTTTACCCTTTACCCACTAAAATCACCACCTGAGCAAGTTATCGCCGGCCTCCTGCTAATATCTTTTACATGTTCGTTGGAACTACTTTAAGTATCTATCGACCTTATATGGTTGATTCTCCAGTTTCAAGTGCATTAACACGACCAGTTTGCAAACCTAACCTAACATTACCTGAGAAGTACCCAAAACATAAATCCAGCGGTCTTTATTATTTTTGCGCATAGACTACACTCACCGATTTAAAATTCGATCCATTCAAAATAATGATTTATTTAAAAATGCTCTAACTTTCAAATGCGGAGGCTGATTTATTTGAAGTTTTTAGCAAATTTTAGATAAAATACTGTAGTTTTAACATTATTATTCGGACATGTAAAAGTAATTTAGTACTCGCCGGATATACAGGGGGAAAAAGAACACAATTTTTTCGTCTACTTTTGACACACCGTGTAGGTTAATTCTGCTAGCAGATCTGCACACAATTAACTTTATCAAGAAGACTGATTTGTTTACAACATTTTGTTTTTTTATTTACCCCGATATCTTAATTTGTTTGTGCAATGTGACGGTTTAAAGAAAATGCAACAATCTTAATTTTTTTATTCAGTTTTAGCAGAGTAATACATAATTTTATAAATAACTCAAACAACAAATACACTAATAATTATTACAAATTAATAACGAGTATTTTCCCCCACAAACGCGAATAACTGCCTCAATGCGTCATGGCATACCCTCTATTAGATATCGAATCTTCATCTGGTCAATCTGATCCCATTCTTGGACCAAAGCATCTTTTAAAAATTTAAAATACTTGGAGAAGGAACTCGGTTATGAACTCGTCTGTCCATCATGTCCCAGACGTGCTCAATTGGATTGAGGTCTGGGCTACGTGATGGCCAGTTCATCCTCTGAATTTCTGTTTCGTCTAAATATTGAGATACAATCCTCGCAATATGTGGTCGAGCGTTGTGATGCATAAACATGAATTCGTTTCCTATAAATGGTGCAAATGGAATTACATATGGATCTAGCACTTCACAAATATATCGGAAAGCTGTCATTGTTCCGCCGCCAACAATGACTAAATCAGTACGAGCTTCCATGCTTATGCCGCCCCAAACCATTACCGATACTCCTTCATAACTGAGTCTTGTGGAAAAATTTGCTTGGTCAAACCTTTGGCCTCTTCTTCGGTATATTCTTTCACGGCCATCAGGAGAACGTAAACAAAACCTTGACTCGTCAGAAAATTAAATCTTACTCCATTCATCGATATTCCAATGTTGATGCTCCCTGGCAAATCGAAGACGTGCTGTTCTGTGATTCCTAAGTAACTCCGGACCAGTTGCAGGTCTTCTGGAGCTACTTGACGTACTTCTTCTAAACGATTTCGAACCATGACAGCAGTAGTATTTATTTTTCGCAAAACATTTAATGTTACAAAACGATCATCTCGAACATTTGTAGAACGTCGTCTGCCAGATCCTCTTCGTCTCGAAAAACTACCAGTTTCATTAAAACCTTGTACAGCTCTCTGGACGCTACACCTTGTAACACCCAATATTCTAGAAGTATAATACTGAGTCCTACCGTCTTGTACCAGAGCAACTGCTCATGTTGCATCAGTAAGCGTTAAAACCATGATATTATGCTGATAATGAATAATAATGAAACTGCAATTACCAAGTAACGAATATTTGACAGTTGTCATATTGTGAGTTGGCTACAGCACTCTACTTATTTTGTAGTTTATTCTCCACCGTCATTTAAATTATGACCGTTTCTAAAATGTAGCATTTTCTATATTTCACAAAAAATTAAGATATCGGGGTAAATAAAAAAACAAAGTGTTGGTAACAAATCAGTCTTCTTGATAAAGTTAATTGTATGCAGATCTACTAGCAGAATTAACCTACAGGGTTTGTCAAAAGTAGAGGAAAAAATTGTTCTCTTCCCCCCCGTATATCCGGCGAGTACTAAATTACTTTTAGATGTCCGAATAATAATCTAAAAACTAAGTATTTTATCTAAAAGTTGCTAAAAACTTCAAATAAATAAGCCACCGCATTTGAAAGTTAGATCATTTTTATATAAATCATTATTTTGAATGGATCAAATTTTAGGTCTGTGAATGTATTTTACTACAAACATTTTTAACTTCAAATTGTTACTTTTGAGTTAAACAAAAAATTACATTTCTAAATTAGTTAAGTTCGTTTCCATATTTAAAGAGACCAGAAAAAACTAAAATTAATCATGTTTTTGTACAATGATTTTACAGCTAAAATATAACGTTTAAATTGTTATTTTTGAGCAATTTGAAGATAAAAAATGAAACTAAAGGGGTTTTTAAGTAACTTCAATACGTTATAATGAGGATAATTTAAGTCCATCTGAATTTTTAAAAGTCATATATTCTGTTGGTACTTTTATATATCTGTGCCTATCAGTACCTACCAAAAGTAATGCTTTAAATCAATTTTGCCTAGATTAATTAAAAAGTAATGATTATATTTGGTCATAAATATGGACTTGTAAGTACATTTTATTGTAGTGTACACGCATAACATGTAACTTTTAAAAATGTGCTTAGTTTAAAAATAATATAAAAACAGTTAATTTTAGTAATAAAATCATCTAGTAAAAATTAATAGCATATAATTATTTTTTTTGTGCTTTTTCCAAATATGGATACAAATTTAACGACTTGTAGTGTATTCTTATAAGGATAGACAAATTTTTAAATTTTTTGAAAAGATGGAACTGCATTTTGTTTCTTATTAATACCTTAATAGATTATGGTAAGTTGTAGAGAATACATGTGCCAAATTTTAATAACATGTAAGGGTGGTTGGTAAGTTATGAAACAAGAAAGAAATTAGCAAAGTTAATAAAACTACCTGTATCTCGGTTATAAATGACGAAAGAACCATTAAGTAAAGTTATTTTGAATAATATCAGTAGCATAAAAAACTAAGTATTAAAAAAAGAGTGAAGTAAAACTTCTTATATTAATTCACTCTAAAATAAAAAAAGACAAATAAAATCCGCGTACATCAATATTTATCGCTACTTGAACATACTATTAAGGTTATAACTCTAAACAGCAAGGCACCGACGATGCACGAACGACGATCGTTTGCAGTCGAAATTGGAGTTCAAGTGGAGGACTAGGCTGTTAAGGTGTTAGGAAATCGAAATTTGTCGTTTTTATGAATTAGCTCATCATATTTTTTATGTTAGGACGAATCGTAAGAAGTGTTAATTATTTATTTTAATCTGTTATTAATTTACTTAAACTTATTCAAATTTATTTAAATTTATCTAAATTTATTTAAATTTATTTAAATTTATTTAAATTTATTTAAATTTATTTAAATTTAAATTTATTTAAATTTATTTAAATTTATTTAAATTTATTTAAATTTATTTAAATTTATTTAAATTTATTTAAATTTATTTAAATTTATTTAAATTTATTTAAATTTATTTAAATTTATTTAAATTTATTTAAATTTATTTAAATTTATTTAAATTTATTTAAATTTATTTAAATTTATTTAAATTTATTTAAATTTATTTAAATTTATTTAAATTTATTTAAATTTATTTAAATTTATTTAAATTTATTTAAATTTATTTAAATTTATTTAAATTTATTTAAATTTATTTAAATTTATTTAAATTTATTTAAATTTATTTAAATTTACTTAAATTTATTTAAATTTATTTAAATTTATTTAAATTTATTTAAATTTATTTAAATTTATTTAAATTTATTTAAATTTATTTAAATTTATTTAAATTTATTTAAATTTATTTAAATTTATTTAAATTTATTTAAATTTATTT